TGTAGGGAGGGGAGGAAAGAGGTCCCAGGATAAGCCCTGGGCACTCCAGTGTTTTGAAGTCATGAGATGAGGAGCCACCAGCAAAGAAGCCTTGAGAAGGCAGAGCCAGGAGGACAGGAAGAGAACCAAGAGAGAATGTGGTCCCAAAGGTCAAGGAATAAAAGTGTCGTAAGGATGAGTGAATGCAACTGTGCCAAATACCTTTGGAAAGTCAAAATGAGGACTGTGATATCTTAAAGCAAATTCAATTATGTCATTCTTCCTCAAAAAAAAATCCCAGTCAGTGGTTTCCCACTACACTGAGAATAAGAATCCCTTCCCCAATCCGTCACGCACATGCCCTAAAGTACACATACAGGGCATCTATAAATTCCTATGTAATCGGACTCTTGCCTCCTCTCCAGCCTCAACTTCATCACCGTTCCTCCTGTTCTCTAATACTGGACTTTTTTCCAGTTCTGAGATGAGTTCCAATTGTCCACAGCAAGAATTCTCAAACTTCAATGTGTGTAAGAATTGTCTGCATTTCCAACAAGTTCCCAGGTGACGGTGCTGCTAGTCTATGGACTATACTTTGAGTAGTAGGAACCTAAAAAATATCCTTTCCTTTCCTCCTAACTATCTTTTATTCATTCTTCAAGTTTCAATTTAAGTTATCATTTCCTCAAACGTCCCAAGATAATAAGAAACTCTTCTTCTTGGTTTCCATAGCGCTCTGCAGATCTGCACAATAATTAATTCACTGCCTCTCTCCTCTGCCAGTCTCCAAGTTCTCTGAGGGCAGGGATTATGTTTCTCTTGTTTGCAGATGCTTCTCTAGTGCCTAACTCTATGACTGCCACATAATAGGTACGCACACACACACAAAAGAATTTACTGATCAATTTAAGTAACTATTCACATTCGTATTTCTTGAGATGGAAAGATAATTACAACATAATAAGTTTTTAAAAACTGGTTACAAAACATTATGTACATAGCATTATCCCAGTTTTGTTCTACATGACTTATTTGCATACAGAAAAGCCTGAAATCATATTTAAGAATGTAATAGTATATATCTCTAGATAGTAAGATTTTGTGAATTGTTTTTCTTATTTGCATATTTTTGAATATTTGCTAAAATGTTGTTATTTTTAGCAAAATAATAAATGAACTTACATATCAAACTCTGACACAATCTTCAATTTTCCAATTATTATTATAGTTGCTATTGTTTTAACGTATAGAACTAACAGTCTGTCCATACTTTTTTAAAACATGACTAGGAATTTCCCTTGTAATTTGAAGCCAAGTTGAGGCCTAGGTCTGCTGATCTATAGCCTGAGCACTGCTTACCATCAGGAAGCTGAGTATAAGGGTTCCTAACTTGTGAAAGTCAACCGATTTTTATAGGACAGCATTTTTGTCAACTCCATTAACGGTGAATTGACAAAATACACAGCAATTTTACCTAAACAAGTCAATGAAATAGAACACAAGTCCATAAATAGACTCAGGAACATGTTGGAATTTAAGGTATGCAAAGTTGGCATTTCAAACTAGTGAGGAAAAAATGAATTTATTGAATAAATGATAATTTACAATTGGCTAGTCACTTGAAAAAACAATAACGCTTATTTCTCTTATCAAATTAATTACCAATGGATCAAAGCTTTAATTTTTTAAAAGAAAATCCTAAAATTATTAGAAGAAAATATGAGAGAATACATTTAAAGTGTAGAAAAGCTCTTTATAAGAATGACACCAAAACTGAAAGACATAGGAAAATGACCACTAATTTTTACTACGTAAAAATCAAAACTTTTATAGTATGAGACACCATAAACAAACTGAAAAGCAAACAGAAAAAGTATAAAAAGTCTATAAAGTATGACAAATAATTAAAATCTTTAATTTAAAAAAATCACTTATAAATCAATATGAAAAAGATGAATGACAACTCAATAGAACATGAATTGGTAACTCTCAAAAGGAGAAAAATAACCAAGAAACATTTTAAAATGTGCTCAACTTTACTAGAAATGAACAAAAATAAATAAATAAAAAGATTTTTTCTTCATCAGATTAGGAAAATCAGGATGATTGACAATTAATAGTTTGACAAAGGTGAAAAGAAATGAATGATGTCATAAATTATTGGTAGGAGTATAAGTTGGTAAGTATAAGTTGGACTTCTTCTCTGGAAAGAAGTCCAGCAATATACATCAAAAAAAATTTGTTTAAGTTTAATAAATAATTCCACACCTAGGAATTTTCTTACATTGCAACTTGGTTAAGTTAGTGAACAATATGAAATGAAATCACTCAAATGTTCACACATGACTTTAAGTGAAAGAGATCCATCTACAGAATGCCATACATGGTTTAAACACATGCATATACAAGAGATGTTCAGATGGCTGTTCACCAAACTGCTAACATTAATCTAGGTGTTTAAACACTTTTAATGATTTCTCTTATTTTAAAACCCAAAATCTAAAATTACATGCTTAGAAACTAACAGCGTCTATACACTCCTCTTTACAATACAGAAATTTGTAAAGCAAATATATAAATAATATAGAATATTTTTATAGTTCTCATAAAAATTATTGTTTAGCAAAATAAACTTAAGTTTGAACAATACATTGCTATTTTAAATTAGCTTAAGTATGTACCCATAGTATTTCATTAAATAATAATTACTATATGCAGAACTAGGAAAGCATTAAAACTATATAACACAAGTATTATTATGCTTTGTAGTTAACTGTTCATTGCACAGAAAAAACAAAAGTGAGAAAGTAAAATGATATTCATTTCCTGTTTACAAATACCCTTCTTGAGAACACTTATTAGTGTAGAAAAAAATTATCCATTTCTCCAAAATTATAGGCTCATCACACAGATACATTTTGAAAAGGTTAAGCTATGTTTAGCAAGGTAATCCTCAAGATATGGATGCCAGAGAATTAAGTATTCAGTACTTAAATTAACTTCTTATTTGGTACTTAGGAACAAATTGCCAAGAATTATCATCATCGAATAGAACATTTATTGACTCTCTTGGAAAAAGAAAGTGAGATCTACTTGAATAACAAAAATTTAGAATTAGAAAGAAACCAATATTTTTAACACTTTGCATGACTAATAGAAGCTGTAACTCCTCAAAATGATGCTTTGCCTGCAGATTGCTTATTGATATGACTCAAAATAGTAGTTTTATGACTACTAGATGATGTTTATGTCTTTATTTTCCATGCTCAGCTTTAGGCTTTTAATAGACAATCTAAAGAATATCATATGAAATTGCTATTTTCTGCCAGAGATACTGGACTAGTTTTGAAATTTCCAAAATTCTTCACATACGATTTTTTTTAATTGAGTAAACATTGACTTGATAAATTAAAACTAGAAGACTTACATGTATAAAATTATAAATAAGAAACAAAATCTTTTTGTCTAATTAGAAAATAAACATGAGAATTGTGATTACTAAACACAGAGAAACCAGATGATTTTAAAACATGAAAGAAGGCAGTAAAGTGTTAACAATTTTTACTAAAAGTCAAGGTTGAGGAAATGGGCTCAGAATATACCATGAAAAGAGTAGATAAGTTACTAATAACTTTATGTTATTAGTAACACTTTACTGCTAAAAAAAAAAACATTAAAAAATAGCAGACTTGTGTATATATGATATAATATGCTGAAATAAACTGAAGTGAAGTAGAAATGTATGCTATGACCAATGAAGGACTTCTGAAATGTAATTAAAAGTGATCTTCAAAAACATTAATCTACAGATCTAAAATAGTGTATATATAATACTGAAATATTTGTATTTAAATTTCATTTAATATTTAATGTTTTTAATATTCTTACAACATGTAGGAGAAGATTTTTTTAGAATTCCTACCAGACATTTTAAAAGGCATTCTCGATGGGCAGGTAATATGGCCCCCAAGGGGATGAAAATTGATGCCTTGTGGAGGGGAGGGTGATAAAAGCTTACTCTTTTTATGTATAGAGCATAGATAGATAGATTAGGTAGATAGATGATAGATAGATAGATAGATAGATAGATAGATAGATAGATAGATAGATAGATAGATAGATAGATGATAGACAGACAGACAGACAGATAGTACCATAAACTGATTTACAGCATATCTGGGGTATTCAAAATTAATGGGGAAGGGCGATTAGGAAAAAAAAAAGTCTAGAAAGGCTCCTTAAGGGGGTGGTAATGAAAAAATTTTGAGAAAAATTAAGTTAGACGCATCTGGATTCTAATCACTAACCAAAGATAAGAACTTAGGCAAGTATCCTGATATTATGGAGCTAAATTTTCTTCATGAATAAAATAGAAATTACGATTTCTCTCTTCCAGTTGAAGATTTAAATAGGGAAGATGCAAAGCACACAGTATAGTGGTAGAAGTATAATTACTGCTAAATAAATGTTGGCTCCCTTCCCTTTTCTCTTCTCTTTTGAGGATGCTATGATTATATACTCTTCATAAAATATTCAGATTCAAAGGAAAGTGAGACACAAGGAAAAATGGAAGAAACTCTAGAGACAATGACTTTTGTACCTGATCCCTGGAACCAAGTATGCCCAAAGAGGGTGAAATTTAAAAGTCTGGCTTCAAGTTCCAAAACTCTGATTTTCTTAGTTGTATCAGCTTAGCAAAGTTGCTTGATTTTTATGAGCCTCAATTTCCACATCTGTGTTCCAGAGTTGTAATGAAAAACAAATGAGACAATATGCGACACTCTTTGAGAATCATAAACCACTAAACTAAAGTTATCTTATGATAGGCATAGTTCATGTTAATATTGGCAAGAAATTAAGACATTGACCTAGACCGCGTACATACTGGGAAGAACAAAAACTGCTCTCTCCAGTGTCTAAGAACAGAATCAAATCAAGTCTTCAAAATCTAAACCTCAAAGGCAGAATTTCCTTGCTAGTTTAAATCTAGTTTAAAACAAAATTACCAGTGGAACTCTTACCTATTTCTTTGATCTTCATCTGTAAAGTAACCATCTAAGAAAGCGTCTCCAAATATTCCAAGTAGGGTATTGTGGCCTTTCTTGTCGGCTGTATGATACACTCGAGAAGCCAAGCACAAGTCAATGGGTAGCTTCTGGGCTGGGACAGTGGTACACAGATCATGAAGGTTACAAGTGGCATCGTCTTGTGGGATTCTGCAACAAAGAAAAAAAGTGGGCTTCTTTTATCATTGTGTGGTCTTTTGATATAAAATACATTGACAGTTTAGTTCAGACTCTAAAAAGGATGTCTAAATGTAAGAGATGAGATTTAAAACTATAATAATGATTTATAACAAATTTAATATCACAATGGCAGGCCATTGACCAGACCTTCAAAGTCGTATATCCAGCCGCCTGCTGAAGATTTCAACATATATATACATATGAGCTTGCTTTTAGATCTGTTGATTCTAAGGTATGTGTAAGATTATATATGTGTAATATGTATGTATATGTATGTATATATACATATACATATATGTATGTATAATCTTACACATACCTTAGAATCAACAGATCTAAAAGCAAGCTCATTATCATCGCCCCCTCTCTCCAAAAAAAACCTTTTCACTTTTGAATTCTAGAATTCAGTGACAACACATCTAGCCATCATGCATCACTCCTTCACCACCCTGCTCAAATGCTAATGTCTTTGAAGTAGAACAATGAAGTACATTATCCATTAACTAGCAGTGAACTCAGTGAAACACTGAGTCTCTCTAAGTTAATGCAGTATCTTCCTTCCCACTGTGCTAGAACTTGCCTCTTCTGCCTTTCTGAAACAGAGAGGAGGACATGAAGATATCCTTTCTTATGCCATCCAATCAACAAATACTTCATGAGTACCTACTATGATCCAGACTCTGGCTAGGTGATTTAAACACATACTCTATAACTCCCACAATGAAATTATGTAGGAGGTATTATTATCCTTATATTGAAGCAGGCTTATTTAGGATAAGTCACAAAATTAGTGAGTGGCTACTAGGATCTAAACACAATGCTACTGACTAAAAGCCAAATTTTTTGCCTATTAATGCCTCTTAATGATCCCTGAGGAGGGAGTATCTTTTCCAGTACTACTCCATCCACACCTCCCAACTAAAGTTATACTCTTTCTTTAAACAAATGATGACCTTTACAGCAAATCAATTCAAATAAACTTTAGATTGTGTTATCGATGACCTCCAAGCCCCAACTAATAATATTGATGATTCTCCTTGAAATTGCTTCTCCTCCATGAGCTTTTTTAAGCTTGCACTATCCCAGCTCTACATCTAACTCTCGAATTCATCAAAATTTTATTTAGTCACCGATTTCCTTTCTCCATCTTCTAAACTGGGTACAACTGGGTACAACCAAAGCTGAACTTCTCTTTCTAATCCGGAAAAATCAGCTTCAATATTTCAGCTATTTCCTCTGTGCTGAGAGCTCCCAAATCTCATCTCTAATATCACTAACTCACCTAGATCGTTCCTCTTTGAGATACGAAACACTAGAGCCATCTTTGGCTCCTCTTTCCTTAACCTGCATATCCAATGAAAACCTGAGCTTCTCCCCTGCACAGGGTTGCTTAGATGTGCTCCTTCTCCCTGTCATTTCTAACACAGTCAAGAGCCTCATCACCTCAACCTGTGTTAACAAGGATTTAATGCCATTTGGATGGAGCACTGCATCCTCTGTCTTTTCACCTCTTTCAATATCTCTGCAAAATTGTATTGCATTGATCTTTAAGTACTCCTTTACCCAGCACAATGGTTCTTTGATATTGCTGCATTCATCTAACTTCCTCTTTCTAAGTTTCCAGGCTCCTAGCATCTGGCCCTACTTCTAACATAGTGGCTAAGAGTTTTGAGTGTAGTGAAGTCAGACTGCCTCTGTTCAAATTCTTTTTTAAATTATCACATGGTCATAAGCAAGTCAATTACTTTCTTTATACCTCGGTAAATTGAGAATGACAACATTAGCACATTCTGGATAAAATTACTTTAAGAAAGAGAGGAGTGAATGCATTTAAAATAGTGACTCTCACATAGCAGATGTTAGTTGTTATTATCAGTCTCCAGGAAAATTCACAGGGCCAGCAAGTCCTGTCACTTCCTTCAGTTATGGATAGAATGCTGCCTATCCTTCTGTCCATGTCTAAAAATCCTTCAAAAGATATCGCCAAGACTAGCTTCTCTGCGAAATTTAATTTTTTTTTCTTTTCTACAAATATCTCTTTTCATTCATTGCCCTTTTCTTGTGCTACCCATTCCGACTCTTTATCTAATGGGGTAAAAGTCTATATTTCTTTGTACTGTGTTACCATGCAGGCACATAGACCAATTGGTTTTGTCCACCAATTGGTCTATGTGCCTGCATAGTAACACAGTACAAAGAAATATAGACTTTGGAGTTGGCTGGGCCTAGATCAGGATATTAGTTCTAACACACACAAACTGTATCACCGATGTGTCTGAAAATCTTCTGTAAAATGAGAATAAAAATCCCTAACTTTTGTCTTTCTAAGGAATTGGTAACAATAATAGTTCCAGGTCTATGAAAATCTCAAGAAATGCTTATTCTATTTTTATTGCTATTGTTATTAATTTTCACTGCACAGCACCTAACTCGTTGCTAGGCACGATATATACATTATTGAATCATTAACACAGAGTGGTTTCTGTCATTTTTAAAATAGCACAAGGTCCAAAAAGAACATGACATGAAATTTGTACATGTTTGAGTAGAGAAAGATAAGAGAGGTAAACCTAATACGTTTGGAAATGCCTGAGACAAAAAGACCAGACTGGAGGAGTAAAAACGGGTGTCCAGGAAAAAGGAATCCTAAGAAAGGACTGAAAAAAAAGAGGGGAGAAAAATGTAAGCTCTGATGTCAAGCTCATCTATATCATCATTATGTTTGGGACAGGTCCTGGCTAATGGAATGTACCTAAGATTACTTTTTTTTTTTTCTTTAAAAAAAGCATCACAACCAATCTGAATTCTTATGTTCCCAACATACTCTAATAACATAAATCTGTAAGTGAATCGCTCTTGGTTATCGAGCTAAATAATACTATATTTTCGAAAGATGGCTCAATTCCCAAGAAAAAAATTTAATTTGGGGGCCACTCACAAGTGAGAAAAGTTTGGTTAAAAAATTAATTAAGGAAATAGGAGCAGGGAATAAAAAATATTCAGAAACATTTTTCTCAAAATTCTCTTTTAACATATATATTTTTTAAATATCAGATTTTTATTCCCCTGCATCTTATTCTTATTTCTCTCTAATGGAAATTTCTAAGTTCAGTTTTAATGAATTAACACAGTACTATATATATATCAGAAAGGTCTACAAATATTTTTGGCATGCTCAAGAAAGGCTGTGTGTTTTTATAGCATACTCTCCTTAAACAGGTCTATTTGTCATTCTTTGAAACACTAAGACATAAAAAAGAAAAGACTCTGACTCTGTGTGTGGCCATGCTACTTTACTTAATGCACTAAATGCAAGGTTTTTTAGGGGGAAAAAAATCAAGAAGTTTCTGCTTCATTGATAATCTGACAGTAACTATTTATTGAAGGTAAAATACTTGTTGTCTGCTGTCACTATTTGTTTTAATACATAATCTTGCTAACTAAATGAGCTTAAAGCAATGTAGATAAGCAATGGCATGTACAGGGTCACTTAAATGCCAATTTGACTCTTTCATAAACTTTGGAATTCTTTTCCCATGAGTCTACTCTCAGCTACTAAATTGTGAGTAATATCCATTTACAAAGTTTAGGCTGGCCATAAAAAGGTTGTCTTCCATGTCCAGCACACCTTTCAGTGCCCTAAGCAACAACAAAAGCTAATAATTAAAGCTTCTTTAAGATCCCCATAAAGAGTTAAATGAAGAAGAATCTAGAATTAACCAACCCATAAAAAACCCAGTGGTGAAATAAGGAGAAAATCTGTTTCAACAAGATGAATGGCAAAAAGATAAATCTATACATCTAAACTGCATTTACACACTATTATTCAAAATTACGGTTACACCCCTGCATAATAAAAAATTTCATTAAAAATGTGGTGGTGGGAAGGGGATGAAATATGAAATGAGAGTAGAGAATAAAAAGGCCACCTAAATAATCAGTTCCATTAGCACATTTTGTGTCGGGTTGCCTTTTATTTTATTTTATAGTAACAAAATTAACCAGTATAATAAGCAATTAATCTAAATTAGACATTACAGTGACCAAAAAAAATAAAATCTAACATTTTGACATTTAATTATCTTTATTTTCACAAAGAGCTATTTTTATTATAGCTATTGTTATGTCATTAAATCAAGTACCTTGATCAAAAATAAGAACAGAAAGAAGGTAGAGTACAGTATACATATCCTAACTATTATCTGCCATCAACTCTTCTGTGAGGTTTAACTTAGATCTCATACATGAATTTCTAAAACATTTAATTTTCCTTTAGAAATGCATTTTCAGGTATCAATGCTACTAAATAACTTCTCTTCAGACAGTAAATTTGTAAACCTAATTTACTTTTTTTTACGTAGTTTTTGATCCTGCAGAGGTTTTGTAGGCTTTCTTTGCTGTGGAGTTCTTAATTTACTTTTTCTTGTTCGTTTAACTTCTTTTCCTTTGATTTGCAACAATTCTGATGATCTCACCTTTAAAAAAAATGAAAGTGTGCTGTTAAGGAGAATTGTAACATGAGAATTAGATCTTCTCTCTCATATTTAATGGTCTATTTTATATTTAAACTCCTAATTTTTATGTTTATTTTATAACAAAATATAAATCCTAAAGGTGAGTTGATATTTTCCTCTAGATCCTTTCTCAAATTTTTATGTAAATACTTTCATAACAATTAAAATATTAGTATTATACTTATTTATAATATTTTTATTGCCTTAAAACTACTAAAGAAGAAATATAAGATTTTTCGCTCCATAGATTTACTCTTCTTGATTGGTATTTTTAATAGGACTTAGCCTTACTCTCTTAAAGTCTAGCATGGGAGTTCCAGTCAAGATGGTGGAGGAGGTAAACACTGTGCTTATCTCCTCCCACGACCACATCAAAATCACAACTAAATTAAAGATCAATCATCATTGAGCATCACCTGAAGTCTAGTTGAACAGAAGTCCTATAAGAATAGGCCACCTAGAGACTGGTAAAAGAGGTGGAGACATGAAACAGGCTGGTCCCATATCCACCTGTGGCAGCTAAAAGTTGGGAGGGATATTTCAGCTATAGACAATCTGCAGATTGCTTTGTAGCTCATACCAAGTGACCCCAGGCAGGGCACAGGCAGCGGCTGACCTTGGCCTACACACAAGAGCCTCTCCCAAGAGGCCCCAGAACCAACACACTGAGGGGCCAGTTTCACACAACATGAGAGTACCATCCAACCACCTCTACAAACAGTACACCCAAAGGGAAGACTCGGCAGGCACCAGAGCCCCACTAAAGCAAACCCTGATCCTTAGGGTCAGCCCTTGCACAACAGTAACTCCACTGCAGTTACAGCTGGTCCTCACAACCAATCAGCCTGAGGGCCAATCTTTTTCAATGACATACCAAAAACAATCAAGGCTCAACTACAACAGGAAGGTATACACAACACACACAAGGGGCATACCCAGAGCACCCGGCTCAGGTGACCAGGAAAACTGTACCACTGGGCCCCACAGGATACCTACTAGATAAGGCCACTCATCAAGGCCAAGAGACATAGCAGCCCAACCTAGTACATAGAAATAGCCAAAATGAGGAGACAAAGAAACATGTCCCACATGAAAAGAGAGAACAAAAATCCAGAAAAATAACTAAACAAAATGGAGACAAGATACAGAGTTCTACCAGATACAGAGTTCAAAACTCTGATTATAAGGATGCTCAATGATCTCAGCGAGAACTTCAACAGATAGGAAACATTAAAATGGAGATAGAAAACATAAAAAAGAACCAGTCAAAATAAAGAAGACAAAACTGAAATAAAGAATACATTAGAGGAATCAACAGTAAATTAGATGAAGCAGAGATTTGGATGAAAAGGTAGCAGAAAACACCCAATCAGAACAGCAAAAAGAAAAAAATCTCCAAAAAAGTAATGATAGTTTAAGAGACCTCTCGGACAACATAAAGCATACCCACATTCACATCATAGGGATGCCAGAGGAGGAAGAGTGAGACCAAGGAACTGACAACCTATTTGAAGAAATAATGGCAGAAAACTTCCCTACGACCAAGATTACTCTACCCAGTAAAGCTATCATTTAGAATTGGACAAATACACAGCTTCCCAGACAAGAAAAAACTAAGAGTTCATCACCATCAAACCAATATTACAAGAAATGTTAAAGGGACTTCTTTAAGAAGAAAAAAAGAAAAAAATCAAAAATATGAATAATAAAATGGCAATAACTACATATCAACAATTACTTTAAATGTAAATGGATTAAATGCTCCAATCAAATGACATGAGGTGGTTGAATGGATAAGAAAACAAGAGATTCACTTCAGATAGAAAGACACACACAGACTGAAAATAAAGGGATAGAAAAAGATATTTCATGAAAATGAACAAAAAGCTAGGATAGCAATACTTACACCATAAAATAGGCTTTAAAACAAGGCTATAACAAGAGACAAAGAGGGACCCAGTAACCCCATTTCTGGGTATTTATCTGAACAAATTTAAAACACTACTTGGAAGAGACATTGCAACAACATGAATGGACCTAGAGGGTATTATGCTAAATGAAATAGTCATACAGAGAAAGACAAATACCATATGATTTCACTTTCATGTGGAATCTAAAAAACAAACAAACAAGACAGAAACAAACTCATAGAGAATATTTTGATGGTTGCCAGATGGGAGAGGAATAAGAGGGATGCGTGGAAAGGGGAAGAGATTAAGAGGTACAAATTAATAGTCCCAAACTGTCATGAGGATGTAAAGTACAGTAAAAAAATATAGTTAATAATATTGTAATAACTATGCATGATGTCAGATGGGTAATAGATTTATCAGGATGATCATTTCATAAGTTATATAAGTATCTAATCACTATATTATACCCCTAAACTAATATAATATTATATATTAACTATAACTGAAAAATAAAATATTTTTTAAAGTTTGGCATGTATCTTTTATGCTTTATATAACTATTTTCAGTAAAGTTTTTCAATTTGTTTTCTTGTACTTTTTTCTATTTCTATTGCTTGGGAAAAATTAAATGCATGTCTGTCTCTTAAATAATTGCCTTTTAATCATTACAGATATTCGGAGTATTGTTTTCCTAGATTTCCAAGGAAATTTGCAGAATTTATAGTAATACTTCATCTAAAGCATTTTCTCCATGGGTTTCTCTTTTTTATTTATTTATTTATTTATTTGTTTGTTTGTTTGTTTGTTTGTTTAGAGACAAGATTTAAGAAAGAAAGTAGGGAGGCTTTCCTTGGGGAAAGCAGAGAGACATGGTTGAATAAATAGAAGGAGGTGAAGAAGAGGGATGTTCTTATAGATTAGGTAGATGATTTGGCCTCAGTTCAGTAGTAGGAAGAGAGCTATTGCAATTTCTTGAGTAAGAAGGTGATGACGAATAAGGGAAGTTCAGAGTACAGACCATTTCATATCACCATCCAGTTACTGTTTAAATTTTCTCTACAGTTTCTCTACCAAATGGTCATTTATGCTGGCTTAAACATGATCAGGAACAGAGGATTTGAATACATCCAAAGGCAGTCTTTCTCTTTGAAACTCTTCCAGTTAGAATTTTTGTTTATTAGAGAGCCTAAAAATTTTCATCCTCTAGTCTCAATTCAAACTTCACAATCTAGCTCTCTTCCATTTGACAGTCAAATAGTTGAATACAATTGACTCTCCTGGGCCTGCTCCCCCCACTCCCAGCTAAACATCCCCTGTTCCTTCAATTCCACCTTACATGTCATGCTTTTGAAGTATTGTGCTTTCTCGTCTTGAATGCTCTCTCCCAGTCAGCGATTTGTCAGTGTCTCTCCTAAGATTGGATACCCACATTCGAACACAGTATTTGATGTGGTCAGATCAACCAAAAGAAATAATCCTCTTCTACGATATTTGTCAATCAATGCAAACTATGATTGTACTTGGTTTCCCAGCACTAAATTATAACCTAAAACCCTAATTTTTTTTTTATATTTTCTCTAAGTCATATCACCTGGTATCTATGCATTTAGATTGTGGACCCAAGGGCACAACCATATACACATTCATCCCAGTAAAATTTCATCTGAGATCTCACTAACCAAATCATACCAGTCACATTTTGGATGTTAGCTGCAAATCCAATCAGAAAATCTTCCATATTCTCATTCAAGTTATTAGGAAATATGCTGAACTGAGCACAGCCCTATAGCAGTCTACTAGGGACATTCATGAGTATCCTTTGAATAACTAATTACAAATCCATCTAGCAATTCACCTGACCACAGTCTTGTCTATAAAACTTATCATTGGAAGGCTTTCATAAATGAGTGACTGCAACCCAAAGGACAATATCGACTAAGTTTATTGAGTTTTCTTGTATACCAGGCTCTTCACTGTGAAACTTTTGTGTTGAACTCTAAGCCTAACACTTTTCTGATGTTCAGTCTAGTAACTCTATGAAAAGAAATAAGGTTGGTCTTCCACGGCTTGTCCCTGAGGGAAGCCACAATGGCTCCAAGTGATTATTGCTTCCTCTTGTAAGGGTTCAAACACAATTCTTTTAATGATTAATTTAACCATTCCAGAGTTTTGTCGAAGAGTAATCATACATTACAGAAACCATTTTCCTTACCCTTAAAAAAATAAAACTCAGATTTGCCATGGCAGTCTCCAGGCGTCTAGCACCTCTCTCACTGTAGCAGCTCCTCAAAGCTGCTGCTGACAAGGGCTCAACAGGCTTAAACTTATCAAGCTAAGCCAACAGGCTCAGATAGCGAAATTAACTCAAAATCTTTTACCAATCTTGGGCTTCAAGTTTCTTTTATCAATTCTTTTTCTCTTCTTTCTAAACTAAGGATCATTCTTCTTGTCAGATTTAAGAGAAGCAAAGTACAAGTTTATCAGCTTCCTTTTCTCTTTGTCATATTTCTGTTTACTTAAAGCCTCAACCTTTTTCCAAAAACAAATTAAGGGAGCTCTGTCACATGTTGTCATCACACTATTTATCCAAAATGACAAGGTTATCCTTTCTTTTTTCTCTCTTTGCTGCAAAACTAACATCGAAAAAAAAAAAACAAAACAAAACAAAAAACAAAAAAAACACCTTTTTTGTTCTTAGCATTATTCACAGGCCTCAACTCATTCTGGATCTTAGCCTTCTTGATATAATTGTTATAGCCACATGCCACTTTTATGTTTATTCATGGATATGTATTTCTTCTTTCATCTTTTGTATATTTTTAAAACTAAATACAATAAATGCAACAGATCGCTCATAATTGTTTTTGTGAGAACTTGAAGAGATTTAAGGCATCCCATCTCTCTTAAACTTCTTTCCATTTAGAATCTCAAGATATAGATATAGATATAGATATAGATGTGTAATATTTATATTTTTTTACAGACTTTTGACCTTTTGCCTTCCTAAAATGCTCAACAATCATCTCCTGGCCTCTTGCATCAGTCATTTCGTTACAGAGTCTTTGTTATCTAAGTTCTCTTTTGGTTGGTCAGGACTTAGATCAGAGTCCTAATATCCTAATAACCTTTATTGTACTAATCAGCTTGTAAGAGTAGAAATGGTCAGTAAAGTACAGATGATCCAATTCTCTATTTTTTACCTAAATGAGACTTTCTGGCATGTATGTGAGCAGTGGAAGCCCTGCATTGCTCCTTATCATGTCTCTGTGCTAGTTCTATTAGCTCTGAGCTATGTCAAAGATCTAAAAAAAAAAAGGAAAAAAGAAAGAAAGGAAAAGGAAAAAGAAAAAAAAAAGGTTTTCTTGTCCCCCTAATCTGGCTTGACTTGCTGGACGATATCGTTCTTCATTCCTGTGCCAGAGATGCTAGAGACTAACTTTATGACCTCAGATGTCCAAACAGGGTAAAGTTCATGGATAATAACTGATCTTGAGATGTTAACTGAAATGAATACAAGATACTCGGTGAAAATTCGGTGGGATGAGTCACAGGAATACTTCCAATGCTTTTTTTATGGCTGTGCACCACAATATCCCACAACAATAAACCATAAATTTTCCTCCCTTTGAAACACTTCTGTTTTCAGCTTAGAGTTCTTTAATCCATTCTCCAAGTCTCTCATGTCAAACCATTCCTCCTGGTTTCATGAGGGACACTCCACCCCTAGCCATTTTTGCCACTGAGAGTCAGTGTTCTTGTACTTATCAGACACCAGTTGATGATTTTTTTGAAAGGGCAGTGTTGCAAAGTAATAAAGAGTGAAGGTTCCAGAATTAGACCACCTCAGTTCAAGTCCTGCCTCTACAACTTAACTAGATGTTCGTACTTGGTCAAGGTATTTGTTCTCTTTATGATTCAGTTTTTCAATTACAAAATGAGGATGATAATAGGGTTGTTAGTAGAAAAAATAAGATAATCTATGTAAAACACTTAGCAAAGTGATTGGCACATAGTCAACACTCAATAAATTCTAGTTACCTTAGGAAAGGACTGCCTGTTTTTACCAAAATAAATAATTTTGCATGACTTCTTAATAATATTTAATAGCAGCCACAAAAAGCCAAAAAAAATTAATATTTTAGAACTTTTTTAATGAGAGTTTTAAATTCTTGACAGGCCATGGAAGTTAAACCACTGTCCAGAAAATCCATTTCATTCTTTGACACATTTAGTAGTTGACCACTTCCTTTAATGCCCACATTTTATTTCCAAAGTCCCAGTGTTCTGGTAGAACAGATAAAAACATTACCTGTGCCCACGAGACTAACACTTTTTCATCAAGATGCCATAGTCTTTATGGATGCTAAATTCTCCACACCTAGAAAGTGTTAGCTCAACACAGGATTCACCTGGAGTAGTTAGCAATGAGCTAGCTTTGACAGGCTTCACTCCATATCCCTAAGCCCATGCTTTAGAAAGACAGCATGCCTTCTGATGGAGTTGGTCACCAATCACAGGATAAGTCCCTTTCCCTGACAACAGTGGTGGATTTTCCCTGACCAGCTCTTACTTGTGGATCTTCCTTATTACTTATTATTCCAAGAAGATCAATATGCTAGTGTCATGCAACATGAAACTAAGAAAGGAGGGCTTGAGAAATGAAGAAACCAGAAGGCAACTGCACTAATCCAGACATAAGGTCATCAAGACCCAGACTAGGATGAGAGCTACTAGAAAAGAGAAGAAAAAAATAAGCACTAATGTTTAGGAGGAATCTAGGCCTTGGAGACTGATTATATGTGAAAGGCAAGGGAAAGGGAACATCACAGATAAATCAAAGGTTTCAGAGTTGGTAGTTTTGGGCAAAGGTTGAAGAACTGTTATGGCCAGTTGACTTGGGTGAAGTATAGTAAGAACATGGTCATTGGTGGGGAGAGGGAGACCCAAAAAAAGAGAATAACCAGGAAGTTCGTTTACCCACAAAATGGTATCCATTTGAATCAGTCAGAGAGAGGATCCCTGGTGATAATCAGGATACTATGCTATGGTTCAGGGAAAAGTGGCTTTTTCATAAATCCTAATGATAATGTATCTATTTTTAAATAAACTTATTTATGTACGTCAAAAAGTGACTCAAATTAAAGAACAGTACTAAGTAAATAGTGGTAAGGTAATATGCAAATATGGTAAAAATTATTTAAATTATACATAAATAAAATGAATCTGGAAAACATTCCCACAATAGGAAAACATTTAAGGGTTAGGGTAAACCTAAAATGGGCAAAGTTATAAATGCTGCAAAGTACCGCCAGTCCTGATCCCTGGGCTACAGTTCCTGATTCTCTCAAGATGGTAAAGGGAAGACTCTTGGTCAATTTCTGAAAGCCCTGAAGTTCCTTCCCTCAAAAATCTGTCTTTTCTTCCCAGAGTTGCTATTAGGTTTAAAACTAAAAGCCTTCAAAAAACAAACAAACAAACAAACAAAACAAGTGTCCTATTTTCCCAAATGGACAATTTGCACATATGAGGCCCTTTTTCAAGGGGAACTCCTGCTACATTCCTTGACCCTTGCCTGGGCCATTTCTTCACATCTGCACCATCTTCAACTCTCATAACCCTGTTTTCAACATAAATAGTGTTTTACCTTTAAAGACAACCGTTTGGCTGCTTTCATATCACTTTTGGGCTGTTCATCTTCCAAAGGTTTACTTGATTCATCTGCTGGCTGAATTTCCAAAGTTTCTTGAGGTGTAAATACCATATTTTCTGCTTCTGAGGGTGTCCATTCTAACATATCCTCTTGTTCAATCTGGAAAATACTTGTTATATTTTCAGGAAGTTCCTCTAACACATTCTGTTGGAAAACGTAAATGTACCAGAATGTTTTTATAACTGGTTCTTCCAAAGTTTTAAGTCATACAATGTTTTCTCTCTGATGACAAAATAATTATGAAAATGCATGACTGAAATTAAGCAGAAGTAGTAAGTTTCTTTTGAAGATTTACAAACAGAAACTCAAATTGACTTAAGAAAAATATGAAAACTGGCAAATTATTTTCCTCAGCCCTTGTCCCAGAAAATATAGCTACCCCACAATTATTATGCACCAACTCTAAGGAAATAACAAGACTCCAATCTGACCTTGAATCCATCCCACAATCACAGAATCAAGGCCCATTGAAACAGTTAACCTCAACCTCTGATTCTTCAGTCCTGAGAAATGGGATTCCTGCTAACCAGATGCTCTTCCAGAAGCCTGACTTCAGGTCTTCTGAGAACAGCTGACCCAGAGACCACAAGAAGACCACCCAGACACCCCAGCTCCATCCCAAACCCAAATGAAAAATTCTCACAAAATATCACTCTTACACTTATTCTGTGTTCCTTTAAAATGTCTGACTTAATCTGTATCTCACCAAGTCTTAAGGAAATCATCTTTATTGCCATATTTAGGTATTACCCAATTTAAACCAAGATTATTTGGGATTATGGCACACTTTGCTGCCTCAAGTTAGCAGATAATAAAACCAGTCTGACTTACATAGAAATCTGAATGCTATAGAATGACTTGAAAATGCAATTGTGTCACTTTGTGCTTTGATACATTCACTTATTAATAATTAAAATAAAGGGTAAAGATGGGATACAGTATCAAATACTATAAATGTTTTTTTTATGTGCAAGAAGGGATGGCTGAATCAAGAAATTTATGTTTGTAAAACAAAACTTGAATCTGAAGCTCATGTTTTCATAAAGCTACTGGATGGTTTTGTGGAAAAAATAAGAGCTCTGCAACCATATGGGAATTAATTCAAATCTTGGATCTGCCAATTAATAGATGCATAAGCTTTGTCAAGTTATTTTACCTTTTTTAGCCTCGTTTTCTTTATTGGTTAAAGGAGGTTAATGAAATCCTTTCATTAAATGGCAGAATAGATACACTGGGGTAATATGTATTATGGACCCTATAGTGTCTACCTATGACAAACTCATTCATTTTAGATTCCACAGCTTCGAGTACTATTAATCACTCCCTATCTTTTGAATTTCTCTGCTCCTGGCTTTTTCAACAAACTTTCCCAGGGTTCTGGTTTGGGAGACTGAATAGATGAAGGTACCATACTCAAAAATAGAAAATGGATAAAGAAAAGCATGAAGAGAGGGCAATGATAGTCCTCCAGCTGCAACTTATCCTCTTCAGGACTGCTCAGCCTTATCCCCTCCACAAAGCCTCTCCTGATCTTATCACAAGTCTGTGCCCTGCCTCTATTTTAGCGTGTATTACACTATGTTATCATTATCATAATCATAATCATCAATATATGAGCATTATCGCACTTAATTTTAATCTTCACCACAATTCCATGCAGTAGGACCTATTTGTAATCCCATTTTATGGATGAAGAAACTGAGGCTAAGAGAAGTTAAGTAACTTCCCCAAGGTCACACTGAGAGTAAGAAACAGAGCTGTGTTTGAACCTAGACAACCTGATTCCAAATTGTACTCTCTCACTCTTTCTCTTCTACCCAATAGGCTAGTGGTTTTCAAAATGTAGTCCACAGACTCCTGACAGTCTTCAAAACTCTTTCAGGGGATCCACAACATCAAAACTATTTTCATAATAATATTAAGGCTTATTTGCCTTTTTCACTGTATTGACATTTGCACTGATGATGTAAAAGCAATGGTGGGTATAACAGTGAACCAACACTTTTCAACAAATTAACACATGAGGTTACAAAATCATGCAGGGGTTAAAAATCCATTCAAAGAACAAGATGAAATACATTTTAATGTAATGATATACAATAAGTTCATTTAACTCATTTCAGATTCCCCACTACAATTAATCTTTAAGAAATTACCATTGTGGAGTTTTAATATAACAAAGAAGAGTATCTATAACTATGTAAAAGGGCTATTAAAATATGACTCCCTTTCTAATTTGTATGAGACCAGACTTACTTAATATACTTCAACTAAAAGAATATATACAACTGATTGAATACAAAAGTAGATATGAGAATCTAGTTCTTTATTAAACCAGATATTAAAGAGATATGCAAAAAAAAGTAAGACAATCTTACTTTTCTCACTAAATTGCTTTGTTTTGGACACTATTTTTCCTTAAAAATGTTTTATATTAATATGTAATTATCTTATTAACATACTAAATGGATTAATAAATATTTTATATTTTATATTTTAATTTCTAATATGATAAATATTGGTTGATACAATCCACATAAACCAAAATTCCTTTGGTTCTGTAAAATATTTTTTAAGGATTTAAAGGCCAAAATGTTTGAATACTTTAAAGTTTTAAAGTTTGTGAATGCCTTTTAAAAAATTGTATGTCACATGTCTTTATGTCTCAAGCACTCAGCACATTGAAGATCCTCTGCTATAATTTGTGAATAAGTGCACAAATAAATAGATGAAATTATATCAATGTTTTCTCTACTACGTATTAGTCTCTATTTAGAATATACGTTAAACAGTATTGTACTTTGTCTCTTTACATATTGTTCTCCTCAACACAAGTTCCTCAAGGGCAAGAACTGTCTTTTCTATCTTTGTATCAGCCATGACTATAACAATGCCTACCACCTTATAGGAAAAGAAATGAATAAATACATTCTTTGAGGTTTTTTTTATAAGTATGTGAGGAAATTGTTCTCCATGATGATCCAAAAACTATTATATTTAAAATAGTGGGTACTTAGGAGAAAAGATATTCCATTAAGAATGTTCTTTTAAAAAGTAATTATAAGTTGCATCAAAGAACTAAGAGACCTCTGGCCTGAGGAATCGAGATGTTCACAACTGAGGCTGTCATGTTCTGAGGATGCCGGGTACCACTTAGAAAAAGCAGGCTCTCTTGGGATAGGAGCATGTTGGCTAGTGCTGTCCAGGCAAATCTTACCCAGCAAGCTTTAAGAAGTCTAAGGGACAAGTAGGGTGGACAGATAGAGTTCTGTTCTCTTGCACAAAGTAGGCACCCAAAAAAATGTGTCTGGAATTTTTAGGCCACAGAAGAGCCTAATATTTATCAAGGCCAGTTATCGAGTTAAAAGGTATTTCCCCTCTAAAGAAGTGGTAAGCTTCCTCTTAGAAAGCCAGTGGCCAGAAAAAGATCCAGTGACTGCTTATAAATGTCAAAGGTGAGGGTATCATTTTCACAGAATTACAAATAAACCAATATTTTTATTTAAATCATTACTTTAAATAACCAAGATGATGTCTAAGCCAGGTACCTGATAACTGGCCTTTTTCATAGTTTTCTTCATAATGATATCTTTTCTTATATTTTATGTAAATATGTAGTGAATGGTATTAAGTAACTATTATTCTATTTTTCTAAACCTAACTAATCTTATATTTTCAGTTTACTATACCTGTAGAAACTTACAGGTCAAAATTTTTGACATCTATCTGTAAATGGTGTTACCTGGAAGCAGCAGTTTTAAGCCTAGATGCCAGTTTTAAGCTCATAGCATAGTGGCTAAGGCTTCAAAATTGATTTATCCACATTTAGTGCCATACATGCTGGGTCTTGAGGCAGGCAATAAGAATACAAAGAGTAATAAAACATGGTCTCAACACAGAAGCATCTCAACTTCCAGTAGGTTCAACCATTTATGGTAACTCTAATGTTACAAGATCCATGGCTTTTGTGAAGGAAAAGATTCCATACACTTTCCAAACATGTTATCCTAAAAATGAATTTTTATGTATGTGAAATAATATTTTCAGAAACTAATGGAGCTTGCTATTTAATATTTTTACAGGTCCTTTGTAAAGGAATTAATCATCATGCCATCATTAGTTTTACAAAGATGTGAATTTCTATACACAGAGAGATACTTCTCATTCATGGAAATATGCTCCAGATTATTTTGAATCCCATAAGTATTTTGCCAATGATAAATGAAAAAGAAGTTTTATTTCTGAAACAAATTTCTGTCACCAACTGTCCATATTTCTCTACAAAATTTTTTCCTTGTCATGCTTTTCACAATCCTTCTAGTTAAATAAAGAATATGACGCTTCCTTAGAAGCTAATAACTTTTGATTAATTCTCCAACTACTTTTTAGATCAGAATGCCTCTAGACCAGAAGAATTATTAAAAATTTTCCCCTTCTAAAAAGAGTTTGGGGCCTTAGCTCAGAAGGTCTACGATAGGCGCAACAGTGAGCCAAAAGTAGCCGGGACTCCTGATGCGGTACTGGATTAGATGTGCTTACACACCTCTAAAACAAATCAGAGGAGATTTAAAAAAAAACTCTTTACATAAATATTCAAGCAACAAGAGGCAGACTATTACTTCAATATAGAAAGAGGAGCATTTTTATTAAAGACTTTACTATTTGAGGTTCCTCAATACTTATCTGTAATCCTTGCTCCGTTTGTGCTTGAGATGTTTTGTGCCAGTACATTTTTCCCGTTAAAGAAATATCCTTTGAAGGAGAAAAAGAAACAATTAAAATAATATGAATTTAAAAAGCATTGAGGCATATTATTCAATGCAGTAAATTGTTAGTCAATATAATGCAGTAAATGAAGACTATATAAAAAAGAACTATAAGCAAGTCAATATTATACATGAAAAATACAGAACAAAAATACAATAAAATATTGTTTATTATTGATTTTATGGTTTTTTAAATGAATGATCTCTATAGATATATCATCAGATTTAATGAGAAAATTAAGTAATATTAAATCAGATACTGTAAAAACACTGCTATTAAATGGCTGCACAAGAAAGATAAAATATAAAGTAAAATTTAATCTAATAGACAGCAAGAAAGAATATGGATATACTTAAAAACTTAATGGGCATAACTGT